CCTCCCACCCCGGCTGCTCCTGCTGCCACCGCCTTGCTGGGGCTTCAGGTCCCTGTGTGTCCCTGGGTGCTGCTCCCTGCCTGTCCCTGCTGCTGGTCTTTCCAGTCCCTGGCTCTGTCCATCTCCTGTCCCTGGCCCTGTCCCTGGTTCTGTCCATCTTCTGGCCCTGTCCCTGTCCCTGTCCCTGGTTCTGTCCATCTCCTGGCCTTGGCTCTGCCTGTGCCCTGTCCCTGTCTCTGCTGGTGCCCTGTCCCTTGTCCCTGGCTCTTCTGGTGTCCTGTCCCTGGCTCTTCTGGTGTCCTGTTCCTTGTCCCTGGTTCTGTCCATCTCCTGTCCCTGTCCCTGTCTCTGCTGGTGCCCTGTGCCTTGTCCCTGTCTGTGCTGGTGCCCTGTCCCTTGTCCCTGGCTCTTCTGGTGCCCTGTCCCTGTCTCTGCTGGTGCCCTGTGCCTTGTCCCTGGCTCTTCTGGTGCCCTGTCCCTGTCTCTGCTGGTGCCCTGTGCCTTGTCCCTGGTTCTGTCCATCTCCTGTCCCTGTCCCTGGCTGTGCTGGTGCCCTGTCCCTGGCTCTGCTGGTGTCCTGTGCCCTGTCCCTGGCTGTGCTGGTGCCCTGTCCCTGCCCACGTCCTGCCCCACCTCGGCGTGTCTCTCACTGACCGTGCTGTCTCTGTCTGTCCCACCTCAGCCAGACGTGGAGGACGAAGCCTCGGTACGGACACACCTTCCCTTCCCGCGGGTCTGTCTCCCCCTCAGTGGCCTCTCCCCAATTTCGGGGGGGCACAGGACACCCCGGAGGAGCCACGGGTGGAGGGTGGCTGTGGGGGTTGTGCTGGTGGGTGGCAGGGAATGTGCCAGGGCTTGGGATGGATTCCTGCCCTGCAGCCCGTCAGGTGGGAGCTGTTTGTGTTCCCCTGGGAGCTGTGGAGTTGAGTCAGTCCAGAGGAGCCACAGAGGTGATGGGAGGGCTGGAGCAGCTCTGGAGCCAGGCTGGGAGAGTTGGGGTGTTGAGCCTGGAGAAGAGAAGGCTCCAGGGAGACCTTAGAGCAGCTTCCAGTGCCTGAAAGGGCTCCAGGAAAGCTGGGGAGGGGCTTGGGACAAGGGCAGGGAGGGATGGGAGCAGGGGGAAGGGTTTCCAGCTGGCAGAGGGAGCTGGAGATGAGATGTGAGGGTGATGAGACCCTGGCAGATGTTTCCTAGAGAAGCTGTGGATGCTGGAGGTGTTGAAGGGCAGGTTGGATGGGGCTTGGAGCAGCCTGGGCTGGTGGGATGTGTCCCTGCCCATGGCAGAGTGTTGGAACTGGGTGATCTTTAAGGTCCCTTCCAACCCAACCATTTGATGATGGAACGTGGTGTCCTGGTGTGGAAGGGCAGCCGAGGGGGTTGGTTCTGCTCTGCCAGGACAGCAGTGTCAGCAGCAGGTTCCTGGGCTGTTGAGGTGGGAGCTCCTGCAGGGGCTGAGCGAGGAGGCGGGTTGTGCTGAAACCTCCTGCTGCAGGGGAGGGGTTTCCCTGGAGAGGTGTAGAAAGAGGAGAAGAGGGTTGGTGACCTGGTCCTGCTCCAGCCCCTGCAGCCTGGAGAGGCTTCCCTGTGCCGTGGGGAATGAGGTCTGGGAAAGAGATGGTACTTGGAGAAGGAACCACGTGTCTGGGGCAGTGTCTGGCGGGAGCGGCTGTGGTGCCGGGGCTGCTCCTGTGCCAGGGAACCTGCTCCCCCCTCGCCAGGTCCTGGGCACCCCTGATGTGGGGCCTGGGGGCTCCCTGCCCCCTCTGCCAGCCCCTCCCTAGCTGGGGCTGTGCTGTGGGGCCCTGGTAGCTCTGCCAGGGGGGCCCTGGTGACCCGTCTGCTCTCCTTGCAGAGGACGATCTCGCTGGGCGCGGGGGACAGGCAGGTGATCCAGACGCCCCTCAACGATTCGCTCCCCGTCAGCAGCTGCAGCGTGGCCCTGCTCTTCAGGCAGCTGGGTGAGACCCCTCGTGCTGCTCCCACAGCCCCCCGGGCTGCTCCCCAGCCCCTCAGCCTGGCTCGCCCCCCCTGGCTCTGCTCCCAGTGCAGCCACCCCAGCCCCAGCCCTGCCAGCCCCGCACGGCCTCGCCCAGAGCAGCAGCTCCTCAGGTCTGATGGGAAACAGTCCAGGGGGCAGAGAAGGGAGCCCAGAGCTGGGCTGCCCTTGGCTGTGCCTCAGCTGAGAGCATCTCTGCTCACAGAGTGGGTTGGAAAAGACCTTGAAGATCCCCCAGTCCAACTGTTCCCCCAGCCCTGCCCAGGCCACCCCTGCCCTGTGTCCCTCAGCACCATCTGCAGGGCTTGGACTCCCCCCTGTGGAGCTGAGCAGGGGGATCCATCTGGGTGGGTTCCGTGGTCTCTGGGGGGGGGGGCGGGGTGGGA